TAACATTAAGAATAGAGGAACTTCAGGGGCACCTGGGTGGCTCAGTGGGTTAAGCCTTTGCCCTCGGCTCAGGTCATGATCTCAGGGTCCTGGGATCAAGCCCCGAATCGTGCTCTCTGCTCAGCAGGGAGCCTGCTTCCCCCTCCCCCTCTACCCACCTCTCTGCTTACCTGTGATCTCTCTCTCCCTCTCTGTCAAATAAATAAATAAAATATTTAAAAGAAAAAAAAGAATAGAAGAACTTCTAAAACGCTATTATTCCTTGAGGAGCATGGTTGGTGGGCAGTTAAAAGTAGCGGATGTCACTACAAATGTCCACACCCTTGGTTATTATGATACTAAGATGTGGATATGTGTCAGCTGCGTACCATGAAGTCTGAATATAGCAAGTGTTTAATAAGTGGAAAACATTAGTAGTAGGCATAATTCTGGAAAGTTCAAATATCTTTTTCCTCTCAAGAGTGCTAACTGGTCTTTTTTCTAAAGAGTTATAAGTAATTATGAAAAAACGGATATGATTGTAGGAAAATACACACATACACAACCTCGGGCTACCGCATTTTATTTAAAGTCCAAAGTCCATAGTTTCATTCTAGTCATAGAAATTATGTCCTGAGTCTTTGTGTATCTGCAACAGTGAAGCATAATTCACTAGCCATGGGAACCAATAGTCAAAAAAGCGTGCCTCTTTTCCCAAAGTTCCGAGTTAGAATCTGAATTTACTTATATTTGGGGAAGGACACAGACAGGAAAATTAAAGAGCTACGAAAAGAAAATCTTCGATTATCTGAGAGTAATGTGGAATCAAATTGTCTTTACTTTAGGATGGGATTCTAAGTGCATAGAATCCAAAAGCTTTTGGTTTGTAATTTTGGGGTTTTTTTATATGGCAGGGAGGGAAGTAGTTAAAAAAAAAATAATCCCTAAGTATAGTGTTCTAAATCCTGAGTCCTTTGCAAATCAAAGCTTGCTGCCCCTAGCAGAGCAAGAATTTCTGAGATGACAGTGCTCTGTGGCAGGCACGGCTGTGTCAGATGCCAGGTTCTCCAGGCAAACATTGGTTACTGTGTTGGGCAATGAGGGGATTGAGATGTTTGTAATGGCTTTGGGAATTTCATTGGCAGTGTCTGTAATTGGTGATGATGAGGTTTGAGAGAAAGAAAGGAAGGGGCTGGATTCACATAAAACCCACACAGATTGTCTGGACCCAGAGCCATGGGAAACAGATTATCTTCCAGTGATTTTTAAGCTCTCTTGGCATCTCTATGAGTATATTTTTCTTGATCACTCTTTATGGCAGATGCAACCAGAGAAAATGAATTAAAATGGAGGTAATGAATTATTGGCAGCAAAGAACAGTTCTAATGGGGATGAATCATTGAAGGAAGAATACATAGGTGGATAGCAACTTTATTTAAACTAAGAGTGGCAACTAGGCTTGGAAGCACTGTTACTGATTGAGTGATTGATTGCTTGACTTCGTTTTAGCTAACGTTTAGTGAGCTTGCCCCATACGCCAGGAACACAACTTCACTTTTTCTTTCCTTAAAGATTTATTTACTTATTTGAGAGAGAGAGAGAGAGAATGCAGGGGGTGGGAGAGAGACAGAATCTCAAGCAAACTCTCCACCGAGCTCGGAGCCTGACCCGGGGCTCAATCTCATGACCCCGACATCATAACCTGACCCAAAACTAAGAGTCAGACGCTCAACCAACTGAGCCACCCAGGCACCCTGAGAGCTTCACTTTTAACATTACACTTCATGACAAGAAACTGTGTTTATCCCAGTTTACAGATGGAAAAATGGAGGCTTGGAAAGAGGAAGTAATACACACACACACATACACACACACACACATCTCTATGACTATAAGTGTAGGAGCTGGGAGTCACAGCTGTGCTCTGGGGAGAGTTAGTCCTGCTCATTCCATGCTCTGCTAGATGGCCTGCCATCGACCATCCTTGGAGTCTAATCACTATCGGGGTGGGGGAGGGCTACTGGCAAAATGTGTTTCTGTTGCCTGGGAGGAACATTATATGCATACAGAAGATCTGCAGAAATCAGACCTCTGGGAAGTAGGGTACAGGGCCAGTTAACTGGGGGAAAAGGCCGTGAAAATGTTGAGCGTATCTGTGGGGTCTGCAGTGGTGGTTGGGCCCATGTTGGGGACAGAAGTGGAGGTACTATTGGGGACACAGTCACCCAAACCACACAGCTTTAGGGAATAAATAGTATAGTATTAGAGGAGGCAGTGGGACGCTGAGAGGAAAATAGTAAATATCCTTCAATCTCAGAGTCTAGTACTCTTCTTGGAAAAAAAAAAAAAAACTCTATCATATCTTTGGCCAATCAAAATTCATATAACTTTCTTAGAATTTGCTTTCAGTTCTTGTGATGAGTTCACTAGATTAGTTTTCACTCAATACTAGGACCCTGAGCCAGTTATGGCACATACGGACCATTCCTCAAGGTCCTTGTAATGAAGTCACCAACAATTAATTTCCAATTGATTACCTTTAGAAGTATATTCTCAACCTCTTTTTTATTACTACCCTCTAAGGAGTTCTTTAGACCATTTCTTCCCCTAATTGCCCTTCTTCCATAAAATTTTAATACCACTGCTAGACTGTATATTTGTTTAAGTACTGTAAGCTATTGGCAAGTCAAAAAGCATTTTCATATCTAAGATCCATTCCCTCAAACACCCAAAACAATTGTTGCTGCCTTATGAGCGGTCTTACCTGCATGGATAAGTCATGCTTTAGAACTACCCCACAGTGATGGGGACCGTTCCAAAAAGGCTGTTTGCCTCTTGTGATTGCCTTCTGCAGTCCTGCAGTGAACATGTATCCCCTTACAACCTCCCTTCCCTAAGTAACCGAAAGTGGGCATGCAGAAAGCCCAGTCACAACAGGAAACTCCAAGGAAGCATGCTCGCCTTGTTTCTAACACAAATCAGGGTGACTCTGGGACACAACTGCCAGCTTCGGTTGCTGGAAATGAAATGCACCCTTTAGTCGTGTCTAATTGAAAAAAAAAAAAAAGTATGTTTGAAAATTCTTTTTCTTTTAATTTTAAGGAGGAGCAGGGTTGAAGTATCTCTCTGTCAAATGTGGAATAATGATCAATAACGGTGTTTAAGGCCCCTCTCCTCTACCACTGTCCGTTAAGTGAAATCAACTACCTCATGGGATTTTTCTATTGTTCTTTGTTGCGTCCAGTAATTCTATGCTTCGTGTATATATTTCAAAAAGGATGTTGTCTGGGAATGCTAAACATATGGGTCGTCACGTGCATTGGTCTGCTCGTAACCAAGTACTACACACTGAATGGCTTCAACAACAGAAATTTATTTTCTCACCGTTGTGGAAGATAGAAGGCCGAGATCAAGGTGTCAGCAGGGTTTTTTTTTGTTTTGTTTTGTTTTGTTTTATTTTTTTTCTGAGGACTCTTTCCTTGGCTTATGGATGGCTATCTTCTCCCTATGCCTTCACTCATCCCTTCTGTGCATGTCTATGTCCTAATCTCATCTTTTTATTGAGGACTGCAGGCATAGTGGATTTGGCTCACCCTAATGATCTCATTTTAACACAGACCCTATCTCCGAAAACTAGTCCTATTCGGAGGTACTTGGGGGTTAGAACTGCAGCATATGAATTTTGGAGGACACGGTTCAGCCCAAATTTAACATCATGGAGGAAGGGTATAAAAGGAGCTTAAGTGAACCACAAATGCAGACTTTGACTAAGAGGTATCTGTTCAAATCCTTACTGTTTCTTTTGAGTCCTGTGTCCTCTGAACTTAAATTCTCCTTAAAACTCTGTCCCAAAGGACCGTTATGAGAAGTGTATCTAATTAATTAATAACAGTTATAACTAATAAATACATATACATGTCTAGCTCAGCATCTGGCTTCTAATTTCTCTCTCTTCTTGAATATGGATTCAGACTTCAATGCATTGGGAATAATAAAACTAAGCAAGTCACTTAATATTATTAATATCAAGAGGGGGAAAGAAATGAGTTTATTGAACAACTATTATATACTGAGTACTCTTATGCACATACTAGGACAAAAATTTGGTTTTTACGTAAGATCTGTAGATTAATTATTCAATAGTGTTAATTGTGCATGCAATTTCTGTCAGGTACAGAAAGTAGTCTTCTCGTTTTCTGTGCAGCAAAGGCCCTTCTTACTACCCATACCCACAGTTTCCCGTATTTCTTGCAGTGGATTCCCTGGCATTGGGGGGTTTCTACAGGATCCAATAGGAAAAAAAAAAAAAAAAAAAGTGTCACAAGTTGAATTACTATTGTGGCAACCAGATTTTTTTCTGCTGTCATCAGAAACATTCTTACCTGTGTCCGGAGGCTGTCATGTGGTATTTCTCTGCTGGCCTACATTACTAATTCAGCTAATTGCAGCAATTACATGAAGAGATTGCTGCTAGCAAGAAAAGCCATTATGCTGTTCCTGAACAGACTGCATTCCACAGCATTCATTAATTATGCCTGCCTATAGATTCACAACCACCAAATCATACACTTGAGACCACACACCATATGCATTAAAACCCTCTCAAAGTTTGCAGTGCCTTTCTATGCTGGCTTGCACTCCTACAGGGCTCACCATTTGTATAACACTCCTCTTGCCCTTCAGATTCTCAAAATTGAAATCAAAATCAGAATAGAGACAGGCTGTACAATGTGACTTCCAGGGATAGGATAGTCTTGAGCCTCCTGGAACCACCTAGAGTCATTCAGCTTTTCATAAAGTCCATACAGGTTGTCTGAACCCTTAGCCATTCACAGCTGCGTAAGAGTTTAAAATGCTCTATCCTCCAGCATGCCCTCTTTAGAGAAGAGAAACATAATAATGATGGGAAGCAGGACATCGTGATAAGTCTTTGATGCTTCTGTTCATTGGTTTCCTTATCTCTCCCTCTCTTCTCTCTTCCCCTTCCCCCTACCCCATTATTTTTCCTTTGACACACACAGCCAACATCAGATGACCTTGTTTCATCTGCTGAATGTTCAAGCGATGACGAAGACTTCATTGAATGTGAGCCAAGTACAGGTAGGTTAGGTCAGTCTTGTTTTGCTTGCTTTATTTTTACATTTGCAAAAAACAATACATACATATATGTGAATATACATGTGTTTTATATATATTATAGTGTGTTAATGTATTTCCTATATCTATATATGTATAAGCATACATATATAAATATTAGTATATAATCAAAAGCATCAAATCCCATGGAAGGAGCAGATAAGAAGCCAGGGAAATTTAACATCAGTTCCTGACACCCAAAGAAAAATCTATGGTGTACCACCTAACGTTGAGCAATTGGGCACCCAGATTAACTATGGGACCAGGAAAAGTACAGCAGCCCTGGTGACTATGAAATTGACAAGGGGTGGTGGGGGCATGAAGATATCCATAACGGAATAACATCAAAACACCATGAACCCAGACAGGAGCTATAAATATCATTTAAATGTCCTGAAATGTTTCTGAGCCTGCGTGGAAAACAAAATAAAACCAGAAACCCAAACCAAACAACAAAAATGAAACAACAACAACAAAAATAAAAAGAAAACACAATTTCCATGGGATTGCAACAGCAGTTAACATGGTATTATATTTATACTAATTTTGTTCATTCTGCGTTTAGAGAATTGTGCAGTAATATAGCATAGGAAACACAAAATTAGTACAGAACCATGCCATGTCAACGGCTGAGATGCTTCAAAATGTATCTACTGTGCTGAAGTTAAGAGGACTTTGGCCACTCGAGGCTTCAATGTGTTACCCATTCGCACCCGGATACATTTTGATATTTTATGGTCTTTCTTTATAGTGAGCTATATATTGTCCAGCAGGCAACTGCAGTCCCTGATTATTTCCTATCAATTTTTCCAAGTCGTCTGTTTTGAGACTTGCTATAAGTTAACATTTATATATATATAATAGAGAACAGATATCATCGAATTTCTGTGTATGTTTAATAGAACTAAAAGCTGGAGTTGGGTTAGGATCTTATTTCTGCAAAGGCTGAGAGAAATAAATAGAATATTCTAGTTGTTTCTTTGGGTTGTTTTATTTATTTTTTTTCTTTAAAAAAAGGTGAGCTATGAAACATTTTCTTTTGCTTAATTCTAGAGAAATTCAAGGTTTGTGAAAAAAATATATAACAAAAGTAAAAACCTTCCATTTCTTACCCCAAGATGATTTACGGTTTTTTTGTTTTGTTTTGTTGTTTTTTTTTTTTCTTTTCAAATTTTGTTGAAGTTCTGACTACTATCTTGCAAGTGGCTTTGAATCAAGGAAGTTCTGTGGGTTCCTATTTTTAGCATTACATGGGGACATAATAATAGGTAAGGCCTTTCCATTTTGGAATATGACCTGTTCCTTTAGGAGCTCAGTTGTATAGAAGAAAGTAACTCTGGCATGGTGGTCAGAATTTTTCACATTATTAGATAATAATCTTGATATACTACATGAGGTTTTAATAACACTGGAAGGCAGATACATCTATACCAGAATTGGGTATTGTCACTCATTAATTCATCCATTCATTAATTCAGTAAATATTTCTGAGCAGTAGGACAGGATATAGTATATCTCTAGCGTTGAGGCCTTCCTGTCCTACTGATTTCCATAAGCAAGCTATTGGAAAATAGAATTAGGAGCTTTGTTACCTAAATTTCCTCTCCAAAATAATTCAGTTCAGCAAATATTTTTTGAGTTAACTATATGTTAGGCAGGTAACAGATATTAGGAATTCAGATATGAATATGTCATGACCCCTAAGATATGTATTAAATTAACTGATTTTGTGGCCAATAGTTTAAGATACCTAGACTTTACGTTGAATTTTTTGTTTATCCTTTCTCTGCTTATCTTGCTTTCATAGCAGTAATATCTGTATAGATGCAATGTTGTTGTTCAAAACTTGATTTTAAGTCTTTTTACAAAAATTAAGGCTTGGCCATTGCAAAATATCGCCACTGTCTCCCGCTACTACCTTCCTGCTTCCTACGCGTGGTCATCACCATAGCAACCTCCCTAATAAAACAGAGGGCTTTTCCAGATCTGCTTCATAAGGTCTACAGCTCCAGGTTGTGGGTGTATATTGCCATTTGGTATTGAACTCGAACAGGCCCAAACCTGAATGGCTCCAAACTAAGCCCATTTGCTTTTTTTTTTTAGCAGCTGCACAGGTGTTTCATCTGATTCAAAAGCAGAGGACAGAAATTCAATGCCAGCATTTCTTGAGTAATATAATTACGTGGGGCAGGTGGGAGATAAAGGCAGGTTTTAAAACAATCTGTTGTGTTTAGCAAGGGAGTGTGGGAGGGGGTTATATAAATAAGGTAAGTGACACAGTGTTGGCCCTAAAGGAGCTAACATGATTCCCTCTGCCTGGGACTATTCAACTCCTCACATTGGAAGAACAAGTATTTCTTCTTTCTAAATTTATTTATTCCATAAAGTATTCCTGATAAGTGATTCAGATATACACGGAAATACGTTAGAGGCATATTTAATATAGGAAGGAGATAGATATTCCTACTGACACAGAGATTTTACCCTGGGGGCCTGATTAACACTGATGAAGGTTATAAGCATAGAGATACTGAGCCTTCTTTTGTATTCTATGAGAAATATCTCCACAGCCTTCACATCTTCCCCAAACAATCTGGATTTAAAAATCAGAAAAATTTAAACCAGTTATTTCTGGAGCTAGGTTTTGCCTTGTCGAAAGAGAAATCTTCCGTTGCTCATACAGCAACAAATAATGGTGAGCTTTGGATTACTTTGACATAATTTATTAGTCTGAGATTCTGTGTGAATACGGAGGTTAAAATTCTGGGTTTGAACATTCTAACTCACTGCCTCAGTTTCTCAAATTTTACTCTTTTCCAGACCAGATGTTTGATGGAAATATACTAAATGTGGTTAATTACCCAGGCCTTGTTTCATCTTACTTAACAATGACCTTTTCTTCTCTCAATATGTTAGCCAGTGTAGGATTTTCTAGCTTTCTCAGTCATTTAGGCTCACTAAAACTCTCATTTTTCATAAATTTGAATTGTTTAATATACGCTCTATTCAACAACTTTTGTTTTCATGTGAGCATCAAATTTTTAATGGACTTATTTTTCTTACATAATCTTTGCTAAGTGAGAATGGGCTTTACATCTCCTGGTTTTGAATCAGATGTAAGCAATTGCCTTTCACACCCACAACCCACATTGGCACTTAGGGATCACCCTCCTTTGTAGAACTCAATCAGATCATCTTTAGGGACCACTTAAATTTTTTTGGAGTTTGGCTGATGATAGTCTAGAAATCTTAAATCCAGTGAGTGTAAAATACTCTCTGGTTGTAATGAGTAAAAAACAAATTAAAAAAACCCTAGGCTATGAGAGCAAGTCAGAAAGTGAAAGCTCAAGGAGTATGTTTATATTGAATTTATATGACACTCAAAATACCTCAGAATCTTAGGTTAAGATTGGAGATTTTTTGTATCTCTGACTTCATCTTCCCTTAAAGACCTAAATAAAACCTGTTGAATTATTTAAAATATATTATTCCATGCAAATAAATTTCACCTAAGAAACCTACATTTCTTCTTCTTCAAAAAAGAATTCTCTACTTTTTTTAACAATTCATGGGTCAAATTGCATTTTCTGAACATTTACATGGAGAAACCAGCATTGAAACTTTATAAAATCATAACAAAGATACCTGCATTAAATGAAAATATTCACAAGAATATTTGAATAACCAAGTACCTAAAATTGAGGGTCAGGATTTTAATTTTCCTAATTTGTACACATAGATTATATTCCCCGCAAAAGAAGTTGGTGTCTGTTTAATATTTCAGACTTGTCTCTTTGCAAACAAATTCTTTCCTTCCCAAGTATGCTTCTATTGATATGAAATTGTGCAGTGAATTAGTGTTTCATTGTTCTCACCTCTTTGGATGTAACAACAACAACAAAAAAATAAGCTGGGGAGGATTCATGTGACCACTAGAAAATGGGATTATTGATAAATGATATGGGAAATCAAATTACAATTAAGATCTTTAGTAAATTCACATTTGTGATCTAAAATATGGGAACTGATTCTGATATATAGAGAAATTGACAAAACTCACTTCCCCAATGGAAAAGAAATCTTCTCTCCCTTCCCTGGTCTGACCTCCACTGTCTCCATCTCTGGAAGTAGAAATAATATCAAAATACTGTGATCTCAGGTTAGCTTTTGTGTAATTGAAAATTGTCAGCTTTCTGAATTCTATATATTTATAGTCTCAGTATCTTAAAGTCCTGAAGGCTGGGGTCACAGAGCAGAGATGAAAAAAAAAAAAAAAAAAAGGAAATGCCTTTTACACCTGAGAAATGGGCATGACAACAATTAACCATATTGATTTATCCAGCCATTACACAAGGATACATTTTTCTGGTTGTCAATTAGCCAGGTTTTTTGCTTCTACTATTGTTAAAACGGTCCTTGATCAAATCTCAAGGGACAGTCCTCCAACCAGAGGGCAGACAGTAAAAGGAAGTAAGGATGAAACACATCCATCCATCAATAGGACTGTGCTAAACAACTTTCATAATGGTGGGATTGAGGGCGATGTTTAAACTACTGGCAGTAATTTGAGATCACACAATAATTACTATCCCCAGAGTGATTCTCAGATGTATTTTTACTCCTGAAATCCATAGCCCTCACATTTGCATTAGGTGTCATTGCTACTTTGTTCCTCTTTGTTAGTCACACAATAATATTCAGCCCAGTGTGGGTGAAATTTAAATTTGGCAAAACACCAAGAGCATAGCCTTATTGTGTTCTCCAGGTAGAACTGGGTTCTTAATCTTTATCAGTTTGAGATTCCTCAATATTTATAATATGAAATTGTAACACTGAATTGTTAATAACTCACGAAATCCTGAAGGTTTTTATTTGCTGGATCAGCATGGAAAATGCAGCTGAAATGTTAAGACAATACTGATTTTGGATCAGAATGATAAGAATTATTTTTCAGAATCCACAGATTAAAAAAA